GTTGGGGGGAATGTGGCCAGTGAACCCCCTTTTTTCAGTTTGTTAGTCAAGTCATTTGAATGATAGACGATTTTGTTGTCAAGACATAAAATGGGGTAGAATGAACGTGGTTTGGGTACGTGTAACATTGCTAACAGACAACAAGTGGACTACGTTTATTTGGGAACGTACCGAGCACCGTAGCCGAAGTCACTAGAGAATAGTAGCGTTAGTTGCTGATTTAGAAATGTCGATTTTCCACAAGAGGTCATACCTGGAGATGTCCAAGGTGGCCTTCTCTCCCACCTTCATCTGGGTGACACCTTCATCCCAGCCTAACCGTCCAAAAACATTAGTTAGAGTTATTTAACGATTGTTGTTACGAATCTAACCTCGGATAACCTGGCCAACGCCGATCCGGGTAACAAAGTCACCCCGGCCAACAGACGAGTCGAACCTATCGTTGTGGGTGGGAGATTAGTACAAGTTGATAATTGAATGGACGAAGGGAGCTGACGTCATACTACGACACACCACGGACACAGAGCAGTGGTCCCCTTGAACTGGAGGTTGTGGCTGTAATTGTGGTGATAGTGGGCAGTGCTGGGATGGAATGAATAGCGGGGTAGCTTCGGAACCGGCAGCATTTTCAATAATAGTAGCACTTACTTGTCGCCCTTGTTATCGGGCTTACTGGTGTCCTTGAGCCAGCCGGTGTACTCGATGGTGACGGTTTGGCCGGCAGTCGGCTGGGCACCAGAGCCCTCTTGCAAAACGGTCTTAGTGACACCCATTGTGAGAATAGAATCGTGGGTTGCTTAGTGTATGAAGATGAAAGATGAATGAAGATGAAGTTTCTGGAAGAACTGTCACTATAAGAGAATTCGCAAGGTGGGATGTTTAGCGCCTTTTATTATCCACCAGTCCACGTTCCCTTCGGTACCACCAACTAGGTACCGCCATCTACTTAGGTACACAGTATCTGTATTCAAGGTGAGGGGGAGACAAGCGAAAGCTAGTAAATTATGGGTCTTTACGTATATTTCGTGGTGGAAATACAAAGGTAGGGATTTATCTAAGATTTAGGAACATCTCGTCACATCACGTCAAAGGCGCAGAGGTAACACTGCATATTCAACCTATTAGTAGCAGCACCCATCGGATGTGTATGGTGGCTATGGTGTATTGTATTCTAGGGTAAGGTTATGTAGGTAGAGGTACATGTAGTATGTAAATCCCTACCATCTCAGGGCCACATGTCGGGTAGATATGATTCAATCAGGTGCTTAAGTACCTAACCAATGCCCCGCTACAAGGTACGCAGCGGGCATAGGTATGCTCATGTACCTATATTTATGGTTGGAGGGGTCTTTAGTACCTCGTTTCCCATTTCTCCTGCAAACAACACGTGTGTACCTCGTAGATCAGGCACTTGATCTGCATAATGCACCTCCGGAGCACCAGTAGATACGAGGCACCTACCTACTTAGTAGTACTAGGTAAAAATGATGTCGTACATAATCATGTACATCTCCAGTTGCATTGCCTTGGTACCGGTAACTACATTCTGACTACTTTTGCCCGAGCGGTGTCCGAGGATCATGTCTACTCTTCTGTGACGATGCGACCTGTTGTTGCTAAAGCTGTACACATGCCTCACCGTCAATATTGGTTGGTGCGACATACGAATTGGCATCATGTATATGATGTTTGCTAATGGCACCATACCTACACGTACATACAACGCCGATCCCACTCCCCCGCCCCCCATTAGGGATTACCCCTCAGGGACTATTTGTGGTACTGCCTGCGCCAGAGTTACTACCGTACTAGTAGTATGTAAGTTTGTGTAATCAAGAACAGCTCTCTCTCACCGTAAAGAGCCAGCCCGTTCGCTTCATATACGGCTGCAGATTCTCCAGAAAAAAACCTGTCTCATATGGACCATTGCTGAGCACACAGTACTGTCACCGTATTTACCTGGTGAGATTGGACCGACTTCTAGGAGGCCAGGTTTGCCTGTCACACCACCTAAGAAACCCCGGACAGAACCCAGGGAAGAGAAACCTCACGGGCCAGCGGGGCCATCCATTTGGAGCTGGCTGGGCTGACGATCACGTAGCCTATGTCATCAACTAACGAACAAGCATCTTGGCTCCGTAGTACTTTGTTCCGCTTGTGGCAAGTATTCTCGACGTTGTTCTGTCTCTCGTATCTTCGTCCCGAGGATACCTCAGCGAGATAAGCGAATTCAAGCTTATAACGTTGGTCCTATAGTCGTCAATTATTCAAGCAATGGCGTGAACCAGTGCCTACAATTCAATTTTAATCGCCGTACGCGGCACCTATTTTCTCCGATTCGACGCAGTTGGAGGCCGACTTTCAATCACCTTCACAATATGCTCTCTTTGTCCCAAATAAAGCCCTAGTATTGCATTATAGAGTAGTAGCTCTGGCCAATGCAGGATATAGGTTTCGTTTTTCTCCTCGTAGGGATGACCAGTCATCCTTTGGTCTGTTTACTAGTAAATCATGGGGGTTAGATAATAATTTTGATGCTAACGCTCTAGCAGATGGCTAACTTGCTCATGTAGACGCGGATTCGTTCTTGCGGCGATCGAGTTAATCCCACCCTTTATTGAACCCTTAATTACGACTTTGCGCTGCGGTAAGTTCCATTGGGAAAGATCTGGTTCACACCTGCAGATACCCCCGCGAGATTCTGCAGCTACGCGATCCGTATCACGTACGCAAACATCCAAGAGAAGCTCAATAATGACTGGCCCCCGTCATAGTCCTGTCTTTCGCCAAAACAGGCCGCCAAGAAGAGCAACACCGGCTGAATATTCCTAATAATTGATCATGAGACCAAATAGGCTACGAAACCTACAGCCCTATCTGCATTAAAGCATATAGGATAAAGGGGGCAGACATCATTCCAGCTAAATTATGCTCCCGTCCTTTGACCACATCAAACTGTCTGTCTCGATAATGACTACTACAAGACAGTGGCTTAGTGCTCTGATATGGATAAGCGATCGAGGCTGGTAAAGTACCAACTCCCTTTCTTTTTAATTATTAGCCCTCAACTTGAACAACCTATAAGCTGCTTAAGAGTACGATGAGCTTACCTGGCGACCATGAGGGGGAAGATGGACGCTCAAAGCCTTTCTACCTATAGCCACCTACATTGCAGAGTTATTTTATTTTATTCAAGATGCAGATTCCGTAACCTTTGCGTTGCTAGGTATGGCCTTCTTTAGTTGCACATGTCCAAGGCAGGCGAGTAAGCGTCAGTCATCAAAAGAAGTTATAATAGGCAAATATAAGTCCAGAAAAAGAAAAATAACCACACAAAACCGCCGAAAGATCCACTTAGAATCCGAATCATAGTTGCCACGAGGTTCTGAGGAGTCTACTAATCCCACCACACGTTCCACAGCGTAAGTCTCGAAGTACGAATGACCCCCAGGAAGCTGCCTCATACGTCACCTCCATAGTTCTAGACGGGGACGTAGCACCCTACATGATTTTTGATCTAGACTAGGGATTCGCAAGTTTTGCTTCTCTAGCTTTCACGAGTGCCTTGGTGATGAAGGGGCAAGAAGGACACAAACCCGAACTACCTCTAGGTTCTGAGATATAGTTGCGCACGATCTTCAGGCCTAGGAAAAAGCCACGTACGGGTCGGATTCATCCGAAGGCTGGTTTCATCGTGGCATCATAGGACAGCATCGGCATGTTGTGAACCTTAATTACTTGAAGCCTGTTGGCTGACCATTTCTCTCGGTAGCCTTGGATAAGTCGTCACATTTCTTGTAGCCTTCACCTTGCACAGTGTACTACAAGCACATCGCACAATTCATAAGCTTCCGCTCTACATGTACGATATAATATCACTCACCTACTACGTGGGATGGGCCGGCAGTTTGCGTTTGTCATGTGTCCTGTCTCGTCGATCCGGGCTTGTTCCGGGTATCTTTCCGGGCGAGGTTGTTTTTTTGTGGTCCTCTATAATCCGTTCCTTCCTGCCACCTCAACTCGTTGTAAGTATGTGGCCGCTTGTGTGTGTGATCTCGTCTTTGGCCTCTACGCCTTTCTTTCCTTCTCCAGCTCGAGGACCCATAGGACGGGCTAATTTGAGTAGAACCGCCTTATCTGCTTCTCTTAGAGCACTAGGGCGAACAATCATGGCTTCGTTTTGTGCTCGTGTCGAGGTGTCGGGTGTTTTACATCCACTACTGGAACCACTATCTACCTACCTACTACGCCTAGGACTATCACTTACTATTACCTTTTCAGGAACAAATAAGAGGCCTTGTACTGTACCACCCCTATTATGGTCTACTAAAGTACCATTCGCGTATTGAATGACCATAGAAAGCTTTGGTACGGTATATAGTAGAGATCACCAGGCCAGTAAGCGTTAGGTTATTTGCGTAATAACAAGTATTCATACCGCCCCGATACCTTGGCTCTAACATCAAGAGGATTCTTCAGCTTGAGTCCCCCTTCTTCTGCACGGCTAGCTCAAGTGCCATATATTCCCCCCTATAAGAATTACTGAGACGGGTAAGGCATTATAGCCATTATCTACACAACTAACCAACAGAAACTAGCCTAGCTATGTGTGAGAAGCAAGGGGGAATAGCTAATTTTTTATTTGCTCCTAATCATCGGAAACTTGGTCGTATAACCGAGGAAGGGATCCTAGGATAAATGTCAACTTTCTATAAAAACACCAAACCCATAGAATGTACCACCGCACAGTGCCAAGTTAGCGACATCGCATACGTGGCACGGTATCTCACCTAAGTATTATCTCTCGGTGTATTAGATAGCGACCGAGCCTATTTTTTTTATACATTAAATACTCCTGATTCTCATCATGAGTCTATTATGAGCCGAGCCCGTGTGAAATTGATTACCTAGGAGACAACGTCCCAACTCAAGGTGAGATATGTGTCTTTTGTGTCATAGGCTTTCGATCAACCAGGTTTGGTATTCTGATTAATATCTTTGGCTCAGTGGTCTAGTGGTATGATTCCTGCTTCGGGTTGCACCCTTCCATCTATACATGGGAATGCAGGAGGCCCCGGGTTCGAATCCCGGCTGAGCCCTTGAGTATAGCATTTTGCTGGTTAAACATGGTAATTTTCTTTTTATTCGACCTGCGTGCATATATATATAATTAAGTCGAAGTTTTTTGATTGACGTGACTGCCGGGAAGCTGCAAACTATAAAAACCCTTTCACAAAAATCCTCTTGTGTGCTTTATTTTTTCTACCTTGCTACCTATACCATACCTAGTAAGCAGGATTTTTGTAGAAACTTCTGTTTACTAACTATAAACTACAATGAACTTTACATATATATCGTTCCAAGTTATGTTAGCTGCCCCCCCTACTTGAGGAACAGATAGATAGATCGGTCTTTGTAAAAAATGACAAACCGCTATAATCGAGGAGGCTAGGAGTCTTGAGAAGAAAAGTACAGACAACGCCATAAAACGTGGTAGCACTGAGTTTGGGATAACAAGGGCTACTACGTAGGGCACGGAATATGACTTGGAATTACAATAATTATTCTAGGGCCCAAATAATCAACCCCCTTGCCATCCTTATAAATAGCCACCGGAAATGGCCCTAGGACTCTAGGTCTATATACACACAGAGAAGTCGGCAAGCGGGGACTATAGGTGTCAACTTGCCTTGCCTTACCCGAAGTAGCTGGATTCGGCTATTGAAGCTTGTGCGTGTGACATTTGGCCACTACATAATATACTACTAATTCACTTTTTATAAGTAGACGGTATTGTAAGCGCTGATGGTCTCAATCTATTCTACAGCTGTGACTCGGGCGTTCGTTTATGACCCGGGACCGTGGATTGGATGGGATAGTATTGAGCAGTCTTATAACAACATCATTTTATTATCATTTATAAGTTCATTATGCTAGGCTTTTACCTTTTTTTTTGAAAGTTGCCAAATAGCTTATAATTTCAGCAACGGTACTCCGAACCCGTCATACGCCGATGTATTGATCTCTATAGCAAGATAGGCATAAGACTACTTTAGGTGTATATAGGAACCATGGCAATACGGAACAGTAGAATGTTTGACGGTAGAAGAAGCTATTGTTGGGCGTCCTAGCTACATAACGTCTCGACTTGAACTATGTGAGATGAAGATGCTCACGTGGAAAGTGGGTTGTTAGTAGGTTACGAATTAATACAGGGGGAGGGGGTCGCATGAGCACTGAGTTCCTCAATAAGGACGAATATACGACGTTCCCCTAAACCCAGTACACTTATAGCACCATTCATTCTGGGTTATGCCACCTCCCAACTTTAAATTATTTAGTTATCGTTGTCATTGACGCTGGAGCCATCTTCATCGATGTCCATAGATTCTACCTCCCGGTAGTTAGCGAGAAGAGAAACGTTGTAAGTGAGCTAAGGAGGATGGACAGACCGTCATCTACATCGTCGGGTACTTTATCCCATTGGCATTCCATTTCACTGGTTATGTCTTTGATCGACTGGGAGAATGCGCTTCCTCTCCAGATCTTTATACGACTGTGTTTTGATTCTCTGAAGGTGACATAGCCTTCCCGAAAACGGGGAGTGTGTGAAAGATGTCTTGGGTACGATAGTTTAAATATTTCGAGATTGAGGTCGGTTTCTGCCATCTTATTGCATAAGTGGGCCCAGGGGTTGCTCGAAGTCTTTGCGGCTTCCGGACTCAAGAGTGTGGATTTGTGGAGGCTGACACACCGTAGAGTTGATTTATATCTTTTGTATAGGGCAAGCAGGTCAGATTCCCGCACATGTGCCATACCAATCTCTAGGGCCTTCAGTTTTGGGAAATTTGGCGCAGGCGGGAAATGGGTGGGCACGGAATCGGAGGCCTTAATGCAAGGAGTTGTTAGTTCCATCTTCAATGGTGCTGACTAGCGGGGGTCTCACGTTTGCTAATCCTAACGAGTCTACAGGCTTTGCCGCTGGATCTGTGCGATCATGCCTTACGTCTGCTAACCATCCCAGGACCCTTGGAATGGAATTGGGATGGTGATACGACTGGAAGTTGAGCCGCAATTCCTCCAGAGCAGGGGCTTTTGCTAGAAATCTCGAAAGAAAAAACCCTACACCAGCGGTTGGTTCGGTCTTGCCACAAACGTCGCGAACCGCGACAGGGTGCGTATCTTCACTAAGATTATCTAAGAATATGGTTGTGAGCTTGCTAAGTACCAGTGAAATCCGGTCATCGAGGTGATCAGGTATCTTGAAAGCTTGCTCTGGAAATTGACAAGAGTGTAAAAGGACCTCTAATCGAGTGATTTTAGGATTGCAACTGGAAACTAACGGCAAGGCGTTAGTATTTTCCCTTTAAAAATGCTCCCCAGAGCAGAGCACACAAGGTTCGTATCACGAAGGATTAGGGATACGGAGGGTAGAATGTGTAGTGCGCATCTACATACCTGCAGCGTTTCCAAGGGCCCTTAGAATTGTTAAGAAAACGTGACGGGTATACTCGGGACCACTCGGGATAATCAATGCGCAGTTCGTTTTTCGTACGAATTCGGGGCAACCGTAGCTGTTCCAAACGGTGTCGTCGCGAATACGATTTTTAGAGTGGAAATCTCGCATGCCAATGGTCTCAAGATTGGGTAGATGTCTGATGGCTTCCGACAGCATCTCGACATCTAGGCCGGTGGAGATGAATTCTACATGGTTGAGACATTCAGCTAGGTATTGGTTATGTGACACCGCTGCATAGCGCAGGTTGGAAACCACTAGCGTATTGTGAGGATGCTCAAGGTGAATGATGAGATGTGTAAGACTTGGACCGAGTCGTGACTTGGCGATGTCGACGAGAGCCTGAATACTAAACTCAACCAGTGCGAACTGTCTCTTGGAGAAGAATTCTTTGGCGAATGCGCCAAACAACAATGCCTCAAGTCGCTTACAGGTGCTTCGGAGATATCCATACTCGGGAGTAGTGAGGTACGAGGTGATCTGGAGGAGTACCTCGAGAGGAATATTGAGTAGGTGAGCCATTGTTGTTGGTAGGGGAGGAATAAGTAGTAGTAGTAGTAGGAGGAGGAGGAGGAGGAGGAGGAGGGAGAATGAACGGGATGGGCTGGGGGGCGGCTGTAATTGTAATTGTAATTGTAATGGCAGTGGTAATAATGGTAATGGTAATAATGGTGATGAATGAGAATATATATTCATTCAAGGTGGTAGGCAACCAGCCATTACCTAGGTAATGTTAATGCTGTTGCTCTTTGGAGCCTACGTGAATGACATTCAAGTATCTACATCATGTACCTAGGTAGGTACATAGGCAGCCATAGCCATCCCTGGATCGACGATGGCTGGAGCTAGGCTAGGCACCGATAGCTAGGCTAGCTACCCACCTACCTAGACACAAGTGGCTAAGGTACCTGACTTGGTTACCTATCCCTTAGCTTAAGTAGCTACTTCTACCTACACCCTTACTCAAGGCAGCCAATAAAAATTAATAGGTTCAGCCGTGCTTGATTGAGTGTGGCTGCCTTCCGAAGTGTGGTGCAGGCTTTGTTTATATCTTTGTGGCTTTAAACCTGGTGCGATTAGACTGCGTTATCATGTCTTATTTCTCTTCACCGACGAGATAGTGTAACAATGGGCATTTTCAAAGGAGCGAAGGACACAAAACGGTTTGGCCTACCGATTGGGCCCCGGAGTCTGAGCCGATGTGTTTGTCTACTTAAGTTGCAGTCAGACAGAACTACGTATGCAGGCACAGTTGCATTTTAGGTACTGTATAGCATGCGGCCAATGCCGCCTCCGATCCTCTACCTTACTAAATTGACGTTGTACCGTCTCCGACTCGCTCGGGTAGTGTCCGTCTGTTAGACGATTCCACGATTGATTATATTCTAAATCTTCCGAGAATGATGTTGAGAAACAAACCTTCCTCCTCAACTTCCTTCGGCTTTATATGAGAACTTCGTCTTCGTCTTCGGGGGCATACAAATGCTGCAGTTGTGTTAGGAATTAGAGCTCCTCACGGAATATGTCTTCAGCAAGGCAAAAGCAAAGGGTATCAATTGTGACTACTCGGTGACTCATTACGTTGTTTAAATTGTATAATACACCAGACACCTATCTGTGTCACCAAGATAGTTTCAGTGCCCTTTGGCGCGGGATTGGGGTCCCCAATTTTCCCTAGGATTAGTCTGATACCGAACCAGTCCTGGCTTCGATTTATCGCGGCCAAGGCGCTGGTCAAAGACGACCTCTAGCTTGTCGATCTCGTCGTCCTTGTTTTCGGTGTCGCCTAACCTTAGCAACTTGTACGTCGGGGTATTCTCCCCGATGTTTTCAGTTTTCACTGGTCTCTTCTGTCGCGTCCATTCTCTCATGACATGCCACACAACAGGCCATGGTGCATTTGTCTTCATACTTCCTGCTTTACAGTGGCTTCGGGTGACCTCGTAGCCTAGATGACGGAGAGCACCTCTGAAGCTATCCTCGTCTGGACAGACGCAACGCATAGCACCGGCGAGATTGGTAGGATGAAAGTAGAATGGGTACGGCTCCAGCGCCGCAAATTCGTCTTCCTTGTTTTCGAGCGAGGTATCCTCTGGAGGTGGGAGCGACTCTTCGAGTGCGGTATGGAGCATGCCTTCTATTCGTGGCTTTGTGCCATAAATATCATCCGGAGCATTGGGTAAGTCATCCAGTATCTTCTTGATAAACTCTGGAGAATGCAGAGGCCCGGCATACATGGGACCGGCAAGGTGCATTTTTGAGTCACAATGTTTGCAGTTCAAACTGGCCGTCGGGGCTAATGCGGAGCTGTGTTTATAGTATGTACCCTTGCCGGATTTATTCGTAGCTTTCTTGTTGCGAGCCAAAAGTTGGGTTTCCCATGCGCCGCATCCCTGGTCGCAGTTATATACTACCATCGTCTTGCCTGCAAGGAATTTAACTTGAGCTGGAGATCTCCTGATCTTGACGAAGATTCGGACGTAATAGTCGATTGATAGACTGAGAAGCGGCTCAATCGCGAGGCCATACCTTGCGGCAGAGGCGGCAACGGTGTGTAAAATCAGTCGCAGCCCAGCTTCGTGG